ATTAATGAGGTGGAAGAGATAAGAATTTTGGAACAGTATGACCTTGTTTTCATAATATTTATAGTTTAGAAAGAGAATGCTTTGCAACTCATATTTGAATCTTCAAATGTTAAGAAATTCAAATAAAATAAATTTAAAGTTGAAATTCTAAAAATCAAGTCCTGTTCTGAGAGACATGGGATCTGCTAATAAACAAATAAGCTTTTAAGGAATTTAGAGACTCTAAAATGTTGTACAGAAATTTCTAATGAGCTATGATTTTTCATATATAAAATGTATTCATATTTCCATGTATAAAATATTTATGGACACATAACCAAAAGCCAGTTCAGAAGGGAGACACAACCAGGAAAGCAGTATGTTAGGAACACTGAAGCCAAGAATAAGTGGAGGTGTGGTTGTCAAAAATAATGCTAAGGATACACATACCTCTCCATTTTTTCCTCTTTCCTCTTGCTCTCTCTCACACACACACACACACACAAATACACATATATTCAAATATACACACACAGTGATACCTACATGTATCCACACATATGTGTATGTGCACATATAGGTATACTCACTCACACACAGAGCTACCTAGACATAGACGCACACACCCATACATGCAATGATGAGATAATTTTGGAACATTCAAAAAGAGTTAAAAGCAAACAAAAGACAAAGAGCAAGAACTAACCAAACTACATTTTGTTACAACCTTCTTCCTTCTGACAAGAATAATCTTGAAATGAACTGAGAAGAAATTCAAAGGAGTAGAAATCTAAACAATGAAACAATGAAACAATGAAACTCAAGGTAGACAAGGAGAGGAAGCCTATTTTCAAGTTTGAACAGGTAATTTATAAGGTCGTGCACTGACAACTTCTGCCAGTAATGGAAAAAATAGACAAAAGAATATAAACTTGATATTAAAAAAAGAAAGACTCGGCAAACTGTAGCTCTGTGAGTTTACTGGAGATTCTGGGCAAAATTTTAGAAATTACAAAAAGCCTTTTTTTCTTAATTTTTCAAAAGAAACAGGTTTAGATTTCTTAAAAAGAAATGATCATTAATATTTACAATGGGAATATTAAGAACAACTGTTACAAATTTTGGATGAGGTTTCTAGAGTAATAATAGAATGACAGAAATATATCTTGATTTTAGGAAAGCATTTACATAATCCTACATGACATTCTTTAATAATATAAATATAAAAAGGTGGTCTGGATGACATTTCTAGTGGGTAAGGAAGTTGATATTAACCAGGATGAAGGCCTCTGGTAGTGTTTTGAAGGGCCATATCCTTTTTTAACATATACAACGTGGCTAAAAAAAGAAGAAACGTTTATTTCTTGATTGATTACTTTATCTCCTTTTCAGTTCAACAGGCTACAAGGTAAAATAATTTCAACTTCACAGATGAAGGAACTAAGATTCATAAAGGTTAAATAACTTTCCTCATATCTGGAGGTCAGTAATTACAGAACTGGGTTTCAAACTCAGGTCTACATGACTCTTTAAATGTATTTCCTGAGAGGACAAAAGGCACGCATACCAAATCTGTGGTCCCAGAAAGCTGGGGAGTTATGTTAAAACATTGAATGATGGAATCAAAAGCTGGAAAGTAGGGAGTCATGGGTCAGAAGAAAAAAAATGAAATTCTCTTGAAATTAATACTAAATTTTACAAGAAACCTTCAAAAAATCAATTGAACATATACAAAATGTCAAATCAGGTTTTATCAGGAGATCATGTAATAAAGATTGTGAAATTTGAGTGTGAGCTTTATTAGTAACAGCATGGTGATAAAAATAAACGTAATCTTCAACTGAGTTAATGGAAATACTGATGAGACAAAGGAAGAGGATCACACTGTTATCTTCAGATGTTGGAGGACATTGAGTAGAGTTTTCCATGTTAATCCAGGGTGTCATGTTCTAAAGGACATGTGACAAACTGGCAAATATTGAGTGATGTTTGCCATATGGACATTTAGAAGAGCAAGTGCTTTCCCTACCATACCTTGTAATTTGTAAATATTTGTTTCATTTGGGTGCCATTATTGTACAGGATAGTTTTTCTATGACAGCTTTATAAAAATTCCCAGAGAATAATGGTTCAGTAAGAAATGGAATGTTCTAGTCTCATAAGTGTAGCTATATGAGAAAAGTAGTTCTAAATGATGCTTGGTTTCTAAATTATATTTTTATATCTGGAAAATATCTATCTTACAAAATTTATAGTTTTTTTGATGATAATGCAATAGTGCTTATATTAACACTTTTTATGTATTTTTATATCCAGACATGTTATTGCTGCTATAATGTGTATTTTCCAAAAATGTATAATTTCCATATTTTTAGTGTGCTTTTATGAATGCTTTTCTTTGATGTTTATAAATGCTGAAAAGGCTCCCTTAAGGAGAAGAAATTTAAATGTAAATAAGCTTTTTAGTCAATTTAAAGTAAACAAATTGAGACATTATTTAAGGTATGTACCATATTTTGTGCTCGAACACTGTCAGCATCTTATTCACGTAGCAGTTAAATAACTCAACTTTTGTGTTACATTCCAGTGTTTTTCAATGGATATTTGTAACAAAGAAAATAATATGTATTTTAAAAAACCTACTACAAAGAGACATTGATGAGACATAATGCTTAATAACAGATTGACTATAATTAAACCTAGTAACTTTTTGCTCTATGCCTCTGACACAAGATTACAGGAGCCTTTTGCAGATTTTTAAATATAGGGAATGCAACATTGACTCATATAAATAATGTATCTTTTAGAAAGAGAAAGGTTATTTGTTCCCTTGTTCTCTAATGGAGAAGCTTTGTTTGTCAAAGTCTTTCCTTAAAAAGTTGACCTCCACTCAATCTATAAAGAAAACATAAAGACATCCTTAGGTGACTGACCAGCTTATTCAAACCTGGTTTCCATAATGAAAAGATCAAGTTTAAGGTAAAATGTAAAACCTTAAAATCACTTTGCATTTATAATTCTCTAGCAAACATTCGATTTCACTGTTAACCTTGGCAATATTTCTTGAAGCATTTTCCAGAAGTTGATGTCAAGGGCTGGTCTTTGGAAGCACTCTCAGAACCTATGCAGACTCTGAGAAGTTTGCAGTCACTTCATGGAGTCTGCCTAAGTCTTGATATCACATGTCTTTGTTGAGTACCTTTTGTCATTAAAAGTGCAGAAAAACGATTATTTGTAATTTCTGAGATATATGTAGAATATTATGCAACTAGCCAGTTAATGAAAGAGGACGAGAAAAGCCAAGAAAATAGAATTATCTTCAAATGTCTGGCAAATATCCTCCAAATCAAGGCAAAGATTATAGTTTAGTGGCAGTGTTCATTTTTTCTTATGACTTTAAGACTTAGTAGTGCAACAAAATATTAATATTTATAGATTCATATTTTCTCTTTATTATACCATAGCAACTGGATGCAAAGAAAATACACAGTAGCTATTGTATCAATAAAAGAAAAAATTCCCAAAGTTTTACGAGTTTCTAATCAATTTGGATAGAGTGAATAAAATACTTTCCAATCTATCAAAACATATGCATTTGAGCCTCTCCATAAACACGCATGAAGTACTTTTCGTATCTTCATAGTAAACCCTCTTATCTTTGCTGTCTGTCAAAAGATAGAAAGGGTCAGATAAGTTCAGGGCGTTCTGGACAACCAATGTCTTTAGGATGCACTAAGGTCTTCTGAAGTGCTTTAATAGGACACATGGTTTAGGCACAATTGTCCAGTTCCTTATAGTAAAAGTTAGTCAGGGTTGCTCATCATGTGGGTGCATATACAAGACTATCATTTCAGACACTTTAGGCTTATTCCACAGAATGAAAATGTGACTTATGGAAGAATTATACTAGCCATTTCAAGATAGCATAACTTACTATCTGAGCCTTAGGTAGAGGTGAACAGAAAGCATGATTTATGTGAGGAGCAATCTCTACATAAGGGAGAGGGTGCTGTCTGGATATCAAACATCTGATCTCTGGTTTTACTATGAACTAGCTCTGAATATAGAAAAGTCAACTGATTTCTATGTTTCCTACTTTTCTCTTTTATAAGATGTCCATTTAAACCTCAAAAAAAGTATATGATAGATTACAATTTCAATTGTATGAATTTTAATACAAAACATATAAAATCAATTTCAAAAATTTTCTGCATATACTGAAAATGTTTGTAAGAATGAACTAAGTATAGGCCTTCTCTAATTTCATCTATTAAAGGTAGGTACCCAATATAATTTGAAAATATTGAGCATAACTATTCTTTTTGCAAAAGGGAATCTAGAAAAAGACTGCTTCCCACAGAAAATTTATTAACAATAGGTGCTCAATTAAGTGTTTTTATACAATGAACAATGCCCCTTTTTATATAAATAATCAGGGGAGAAATATTTTTAAGTAATTTTTTTTCTTTCTATCACTCCAGCTACGCACAAAATTCTGTTGTAAAGACATATTTCTATGAGGAGGTATTCATTGTAGATGTACAGAAGTCTATGAAAACCTATGTTTACAAGAAAAAAATGGATTATCATTCTAACCAACTGCATATTCACACATGCTTAATGAAAGCTATCTGATGATATAATGAATGTTTAATTTTGAGGACGTGCATACAGTTGGCAACTATTTTTCAAGACTCACTATCCAACAAACTAAATTTTCTCATTTTAAATCCTTCATGTCACCTTTTGGACATTTAGTTGAAATTTTGGAACTAACATGATCACATTAAAAATATAAATGGAAGAAGCATTAACCATGGACTGATTCTCAACTTCAAGAGTTAAAATAAATACAAGTATGGATTAGAATAAAATTATGTTGACAATATGTATGTAAATCAAAACTTCCAAAACGATTAGACTTTTCTTTGAAAATATCCCATCCATTGCTTCCCCTCCAACAGACGAAAGTAACAAAAGAGGAAGGTAGCAAAAAAGGAAACAGGAAAGCCTGCTTCAATAACTGGACATATTGATTTAATTGGTTAAAAAGTCCAAATGCTAATACTCCTAATAATCAGCCATTCCTTTTGTGTTTTGGTAACATATATCCTTATACAATTTATGTCAAATGGAATTTTTTGATTCACCTCTGACATTTCAAAGTTTCCGTTTTTGAATTCCCCTAGTCTTAAGTAAGTAACACATTGTCTACCTTGTTTGAAATCTACAACATTTTCCCCAACATCTAGGGCTCCATGATGTAAAATGTCATTTTGCCGATCTTCTGTTCCAGTACTAACTTTAATTTTTTTAATTAAAATCGGATTTTCAAATATAATCACAAAGAAATCTCCTGCTGAAGGTGGTTTCCCCCAAAAGTACTCATCAACACTACTATAAGCCTTGCTTGCTTCATAATTTTCGAAAACATTCATGTTGGTATATAGATTGGCAGGAGGGTTATCAGGGATGTCAAATGACTCTTCTTCAAAATCATCATCCTTCAGCTTATTCTCAGTCCCTTTATATGATGAATAATAACCCATGTGCTGAAAGAGAGATGGTTTAAAACGGATCACATTTTTCTGAGCTAAAAGATCCCGAAAATGAGTCAATAGCCAATCACAAGGCATTTCTTGATAAAACATTAATAAAAAGTGTGCTAAACGTGGGAGATCATGAGAATGATAAAGTTTTCCAATGTAGCCAAGCTTAGAGAACTCAAGAGTTACCCAGTAGGTCCCTTCTAGGGATGTAATGACTTTCTTGATGGCAGTTAAGAAATTTTTTGAACATCGAACATCATCTTCAAGCATTACATAATAGTCTGAAGTATTGGCACAAAAATTAAGCAGAAAAGCATAGTCTACATTTTGCTTAGAACGAAATCTGACTCTGTCTTCTGGATCATTGTAATTTCTCTTAAGGCCATCCAGGATTGGGTAATATTCCTCTGGAGCATGTATAACTATTAGTCTTCCTGCAATAATGTGGTGGGCGAATTTCTGTGTAATATCCTGGACCATGACATCACGCCAGGATGAATTAAAGTCTGCTAGGTGAACCACCACTGAAATTTCCTTCAGCTCCTCATAGCTGGATTGCTCAAAAATTGACTTGATTGTCTCGAGTAAATAGTTTCCCTTTTTTCGTTTCACTGATGAAAGCCCAATTGTAAGAAACCCTGAGCGAAAGAATTCAAAAAGAAGACAAATTAAATGTGAAATAGGCTTTGAATAACATAGAAAAAAAAATCTTTTCCCTTCAGGCCTGCTACGATATTAGGTACATCTAGTAAATGGTATGTGTAGAAGAGTTGTGAGTGAAGTCTTAATGTTAAATATGTAAAGGCTATAGGACTTAATATATAATTGATTTTTCTCTGGAAAAAAAATGCATCTTAAGCACAATGACATATGAGCTTTATTGCTGTAAACATTTGTTTATGAAATAAAAAATTACGACGTAAGGTGTTTTGCAGCTTAATGTTCTCATATATGTCCATTAGAGAAGATAGATTTTTGGATAATATCCACACTATTAAAAAATGCAAAAGGAGAAGAAAATTCACAGTTAAGGATGACAAATAAGTCTCAAATGATAAAAAATAAAATTAAGCATAACTCATTCTTTTAATTATCTTTAAATTTTTCATAGAAAACATGTTACATTTTCATTTTTCTTTGATCATTGTCATTATCTCAGACCAGAAAAATAATTGGACTTCACAATTTTATTTTGAAATTTACCTAGAACGTTAATTAAAATGGAAACAAAATTATAAACTATTTTTAAAAACTGCATTATTATTCAAATATATAGTACATTGTTCCAATACATGAATATCACTGTTTTCCTTATTTTGAAACACATTTTAGAGCAATTTTCTGATGGGAAATTTTTATTCAGAATCTAAAATCTAAAATTAGAAACTGGGTATCTGTAGGGAATAAAATAAAACCTTGTGAAATGGCAGTTTACTTCTAAGAAGTGTAGATGTCTCTTTCTCGAAATATTTTCCCTTTTTAAAGCTCTGATTTTCACCGTGATTCAGAACTGAATAAAATTTCCTAAAAACTACTTGAAAAATAGGAAAATGTTTCTATTCACCAAGATCACTGTTTTAATACAGACACCTACTTGTTGTGACTTATGCAATACTGAAAAAGCGCTTTCTAAGAATAATCTTTCTTACTAGTCTGTCAGAGAGGTAGAGATTTACACATTTTGTTTAAATACCTGGGTTTATGACCCTAACTTCTTTTGAAAAATGAATATGTTCTGTGGTACCATTCAACTCAAGATACCAGCCTTTACTAATGCCCTAGGATAGCCAATACTATGAGAACACTTCCTACATTAAAGGCAGAAATCTATGCATTTTGCCTGTAATATGCATCTTGAATATTCCTAACCATCTTTTGGGATAGCTTTGCACTTGTCATCATTTCTGCTTTATAGATGAGGAAAGGAAACAATCACAGGGAGATGTGTTCACTTGTGCAAAGTGTAACACCTAATGAGTAGTGTGGGGCCAAGATCCAAAGTGCCCTGCATGTACACTCTGTTTTATATCACCTCTTTGTATAAAGCAGTGGCATATGTGTATTGTCAGTTTACTAACTTAGGACAGAAAGGGAGAATCAGTAACGTTTGCACAAAGGTAGTGTAACAGATGGAGATAAAAATAAACATTGGCAATCTTATGCAATTAGAAGAAAGTAAGAGCGATAGACATTTGAAATGAAGGAATGAATGGAATATAGACCTAAAGAAGCCCAAACTAAGTTAAGTTACAATTTCCTCAACCTGGTGATCACAGACTCACTTGTATAAACACTTTTTAATGGGGAATTCAATTTCTGTGGTCCCCACACGACCTATTAAGAAATTCATGGTATCACTGTGTTTCATTGATTTCACGAGTCATATTTTTCACACAGAAACATTTTAAACTCAGGCTGAATATTATAATTGATGGCATCTTACAATTAAAACTGATAATGATTATGCTTTCTTAGTGGCACATTAATTAGATCATGATACCTTCTATAGTCTACGGTGTCTTGAAATCCATAGAGTGTGTGTAGTATGTTACTTCTCAGATCCAATCTACCGATAGTGAGTTGAATAGTTTTCTCCAAAAATTCAGGTCTACCTGGAACCTCAGAATGTGACCTTATTTAAAAATGGAGTCTTTGCAGATATAATTAGTTAAGGATCTTGAGATAAATCATTTTGGATTTAGAGTGGGCTCTAAATGCAATGACTGGTGTCCCTGAAGAAGAGGAGAGAACACAGAGAGACACAGAGACCAAGGGAAGAAGATCCTGTGGAGACAGAGTCTGGGATTATTGTTAAGCTCCCACAAACCAAGGGACGGCAAGAGTGACCAGAAGCTGAAAGAGTCAAGAAAAGATTCTCCCCTATAACTTTCAGGAGAGCGGCTCTGTCAGCACCTTGATTTTGAACATCTGGTCTCCAGAAATATGAGAGAATAAATTCCCATCGTTTTAAACTACCTAGTCTGTGGTAATTGGTTATAGCACCTTGGTAAACTAAAACAATGACTTCCACTACTTCAAAAGCAGTGGCAAGTCATAAAAACCAAAGCATTGGAGTTAGAAAATATATCGGTATGAGAATAGTTATTTTTAAAAGGGAAGTTTTAAAAGTTCAAATAAATTGATTTTTCTCAGTCTCTCTACGTGGTTCTACAGCAAACTGTTTGAAAGTTTATATAACAATTAGGCATTTTAAAAAATTTCTTTTTTTGGTTATTAATGGAACTGGATCAGTAATTGCAATTTGTGAAGAAACACTGAATTACTTCCCAAAGAATATATATCAGTAAAGCCCATAAAGTTTTATTGTGATACAAGTGAAGCCAGATGTCATTATTTCATTATTTAGTTTTTTAAGATTTTATTAATTTATTTGAGAGAGAGAGAGTGAAAGAGAGAACGAGAGGGGAGAGGGTCAGAGGAAGAAGCAGACTCCCCGGGACTCGATCCTAGGACCCCGGGATCATGACCTGAACTGAAGGCAGTCACTTAACCAACTGAGCCACCCAGGCACCCCCTAATTTTAAAAAAACAAAAATACTTTATGTGTTCTTTATTTGAAAGTGTAGGGATACTTACGCTTTCTTTGTAAAGGCGTGGCAGCTAAGTAGCGATAGGTGACATTGATGGCTCCTGAGAAATTAGATAAATCTTTGAAAGTATGCACATAACGTTCTGAATTCAGCTGATGTGTGGATGTTTCCCTTATAAGTTGTTTATCTCCTTCCTGAATGCCATGAAAGAGGCAGAGAAAATAAATAAATAATAGATGGTCATGGATTAAATAAAGTTTCTCCTTACACGACGAACATATGGGGTTGATATGCAACATGGGTATTATATAAATCTCAACTACTGCACCACAAGCTATAGATCCTCATCTCTCACCTGAATTCCCACCTAGAGTCTCTACTCCAGGCTCTCCTACTCTATTGTACTCTTTATACTTCTCTTCCATTTGCTTTTCCACAGCATACATTAATAATGGCATTCTCTGGACAAAAAAATCTCTATGTGAAAACTCCCACTGTCTTTATGTTAAAATTCAAATCCTTTACAATAATTCAATGATCTTAAAATTTCACAATAATCTACAGTGATGTAAAGCTAATTCTTACTAAGTTTCCCATATTTGAGTCATATTAAGCTATTTCATCTTCTTCAAGAATTGTTCAATAATACCATACATAATTTCTACATAATTATTTCTGGATAATTTGTTAATCAAGAAGCTTTAGTCAGTTACTTATATGGCCACTATAATCAAAGACTGTTGAGAATAGATAGCCATGGTCTTTGTGACATCAGTGTTTTTTCACATGTCTTCAAGATATCTTAAGATACATTTGTACCAAATATAGGAAATGTCTTCAGAACTTGCACTAGTTTTTCCCATGATATGTTTGCTTGTTGCTTGTGTGTGTGTGTGTACATGTGCGTGAATGCATGCGTGCATGTGTGTTTTGTAAGTAGTAATCTATTGGAGTTGAAGCCTGGTCCTTTAATGTTTAAGAACCCCTTTATGTAACTGGTAATGGACTTCTGTCATTTGATCTTTGAGAAGGTTTTTATTAAAAAAAGATTCATATTTAGCTTAAATATATCCTGTTAATTATTAATTGGTCCCTTTTTCTCTCTTAGTATAAGTTCAATAGTAGATTTTGATTATCTAATCATGATTTGATCAAGTTTTTATTGGTTATACATTATTAGCAAAATATCGACTTGCTTGGCCTTTGTATAAGGCTTACTACCATGGGCAGAATATATATTCAAAGATAACCTATTTAGAAAGAATTTTGTTGTTTTTGGCAAGTGTCTACTGTACTGTGTGATGTTATATGGATCTATTTCTACTATTCCATATACAATGTCAGGTCAGGCATGTGCATGCCATTAAGACTACAGAGGAAGTAAATGCATTTGAACCAATTTGGTCCTCATATTATCTGCCTGTGGTCAATAAAACTTTAATTAAATCACTGTCATAAAAAATTAGAAAGGATTCAAATACAAATTTTACCTCATTTAGAACATTCAATACTTTGCATCACATTCAAATGACAATGGAGAAAGAGACTGGCTCAAAATTTTAAATCATTGGCCAGACTGGAATTGTCTTAGAATAAAAATTGAGAACAGTAGACCACGACTGGGAAGAGCTTTCAATCTGGTTTTTGCTAACTCAAGATCCCTTCTGAATATCTCTTCTGTATATTCAATTATGTTTATAAACCTATACTTGGTCTTTAATACTGTATTTCTATATTTTATATTGTCTTGATAATTGAGAAAAATATGTTAGCCTTTTACAATATTTATAATGTTTGCCATCTATAAGTTACAGACTTTCAAAATATATGAAATTATACCTTGAATTCTATATTTCTTATAAATGTACTAATTGAATATCTATTGAATTCTGATTATTATAATTTCTTTACACATAAATATTTTCATCTTGTCTTTCTGAAAACCTATAGAACATTATCAGAATTTTAAAATAAACTTAGGATTGCTAAAAAAGTAACTAAGGACTCAGTTCAGCACCAACTTCTTTAATAGTAATGTAATAGTGTCCATTATCAATACAGTCTAGGAGAAATATCTATAAGAATCACAGTAGTCACAACTCTGAATTCATTTTACCATTCTGCTCTTATGTGATGTTACATTCTAAAGGAAGTGCAGGATATTGAATATTTCTTTAAGAATTCTATTTTGAATGAGTAAAATTCCAGACCTTTTGTGTGTTTAGAGTACATTCATCCTGATTGAAGGACATAACAGAATATAAAATGAAATGGAAGTTATATGAAAGCACTTTATTAAATTCTCAAGAACAAGCTCCTTTACACTTTTCAGCATAAATAAATAATGCAACTTTCACCTGAGTCAGCCTTGTTGGCTGCTTTCCAGAGGCATCTACCTGAACTGCTAGGCTCTCCCTGGATACCTTCTTTCTGTAGCTACTATGCTGTAGTGTATTTCTCAGCAATAAGACAAAGCTTTATGACAATCATTTTCTGGATAGGAATGCAATTCAATGGACTAGTAACAGACTAAGTATATACCCTGGTGGCTACTTTGAAGACGCTCACAGCCCAGAGGCTTAGTTGATTGGGCATGTAGCGTCTCTTCTTAGTTTGCCTTGTAATAGTATTTGTCTCTTATACTGAGCTTGGTTTCCTTTCCAAATAAAAGGCACATATGTCCCGAATATGTAAGCAATACATTAAACATACATATATGCCAAGGATTTCAGGCCACAAGTGGATTTTCTAGCAAAAACAGCAGAATAGAAAGTGCTAAGTAACTCCAGAGATCTTTTACTTGTAATTGTTTATCTGATTTCTCTGAATTATAAGTAGTATTTCCCCCTGAAAGAAGGAAAGCAGGAAAAGAAAGATCTGGGAATGTCTATGCTTAGCAAATTGTACACATTGTGGCATTCGAAAGTCAAGAAAAAAAACTGAATGAGATAATTTTGTGAAAACTGAAATAAACATGGATAAAAGGGTCAAAAAGGACAAGTGTTACAAAGAAACTACATTGTATACTTAGTAGGTGGCTGGCTTTCCCTGGCTATTAAACATTTTTAGAAAAGCAATTTTAGTGTAGTTTTACATTAATTATTTAAATGTTTTAAATATTTATACATATTAAGCCTTGGGATGAAATTTGGCTTTGGATGAATTTAGGTAAAAAAAAAATCATCAGTAAATAGTGAGAAATTAAACTAATAAAAATACTGTCATTAAATTTTCAGTAAGGGGAGTGCTTGTATTTAACCATCATTTTAACTCACTTTTTCCAACTTAATATCAGTACTTAAAAATAATTACAATTTTTACAATGAAGGAGCAATCCATTCTCTACACTTGGCCTGATTTGTAAATTTGACTAGATATATGCGTAATCTAGCCAGAGAAAATTTCATTGAGAAAGTAAATACTCTTTAGTCAGAGCTGCTTCATTAAATCACACCCTTTACATTAGATGGGTAGGACTGAAGCTTGGATAGAAATGTCTACAAATCCACAAGACAGGGCAATAGTATTTGATCCTCTTATAGATATACACTCTATTACTTCTTACACATTTTATAATGAATTTGAGGAGGTTCTATATTAACAAGATGTAAGGATGTTTGTTGCATACAATGGTCCTTTGTCTGTTTAAAATGAAACACTGAAATTGTGTTTAAAAGTGTCTTACAAACGCAGCAAGTCATTGAATACAATAAGCATCCTGTCAATACCATGTGTTTGGTTTACAAGATGTGATTTACTGCTACCAGTAGACATAGATGCAAAAGATAAATTTTTATTACAAAATTAAATCATTTATCAAAAGCTCTCCTTATTAATTTATGATCATTAATTTTATCCAGAAAAAATAGGGGATCACATGGGGCTTGCTATATTGTCTGTAAGTCTCATAAACCTAATAATTGGGTTTAAAGAAAGGTAAAAATGCATCTCATTAATAAGTTTCTCCAGTTTGCTATGTTTACCTAAATCATGCCTAATCAAATTCTATTCATCTGTGGTGATTTCAGCCATTGTGAATTGTCTATGGATAACAGAATGAAGGGACCACAAGATCAAGAAGTACATGTGAACGTAAAAGGCATAGGCAGAGTCAAAATCTAGGAATCTGGCAGAATTTCATCATCAAAGAATAATGCTAACGGAAGCAAGATGCTTTATAGAAGACATCCTGAGAGGATCTGTCCCAACTAAGATCAAATGGTTGGCCTATCGGCATAGAATAGTACATGACAATTCATGGGTAGGTAATATCATGTTCAATTAATGAAATAAAACATTTTACTGGGAAATGCTCTTGTGGTTATTGTCAGATTTTCTCTTGCTAAGATATTCACTGAAACTTTCACCATGCTTGCATGGTGGAAAGTACTTTTCAGTCCTCTCTGTGTCCAAAGATTTTGATTTTCTGAAATATGTGAACAGGAGCAATAACATAAAGATTAGGATTTCTCCAGATATCTTAAGCTCAATTCAGACAGAAAGTAAATAAGCAAAAATGTCCATGTTATTCTCATCAGACATGAAATGATGTGATATTTACAATGATAACAAATAATAGAACAAATTGAGTTCTCAAAATTAGCCAGAGTAAGTCCTTTTGTATATTTCTAGAATTTACTTAAAAATTCATTTATATATTATATACTAAGTTACCTTTTTTAAACTACTGAATAGTTTTCACATCATTATCTCTAGTTCTTTCACATCATTATCTCTAGTTCTTGAGGTTCCATACTACTTTTCAATGAATATAAATATATAACATGGTGGTCATTTATGACTATTCAAAATCAAGTGAGGTGTCATACATTATAATAAAATCCTGTCATTTTAATATAATAAAATCCTGTCATTTATTACTTCTTAACAAAATAGCATAATTAGTATCATTAATTAAAAAATAAGATTTTGAAAATTTCGATGATAATATAAAAAACTGAGAAAGTAAGGACTAATATCTTTAAAAAAATTTTAAAATTCTGCATATTTCAAATTAAAGCTCAAAAATTATTATGGCTATACATAAAATTAATCCAGCATAGTGATAGTTAATTTATTTATAAACAAATACACATATTTGAACTACATGTGCAGCACTAAAGAAAACATTGCAACATAAATCAAAAAAATTTTAATGCTGGGATTATAGATTTAATACAAAAAGGAGCTAGATAGAAAGTATACATGTTACAGTTATGCTCAAATAAGGCTGTTCCAGCAGCCTGGGATTGAAGTTAGGTTACAGTTGGACTAAGCCTAATTTGATTTAGACCTTATTTGTAACAGCAACAACAAAAACAATTAACCTCCAAAACTTACCAGAACATAGCTGTCTTCAATGTACAAGTTCATAAAGAGAAGGAAAATGACAAGAACTCCCAAGAATGACACTGTGGAACGTTTTCTCAAGCATCTCATTTTATCAAGTATTTCAAAAATATGCTTCATTTGACAAAATTTAAACATTCTATCCTGTGGAAAAAGGGTACAGAATTACTGACAATTAATTTTGGATGTAAATATTTCTTCATATGTATCAAAAGCCAGGCTTTCATAAAATCTCACCCTTCACTTGTTTAACTAAAAAGTTGTTTCCAATTTCACACATCTGATTTTCACAGATTAGTAATATCTTAACATAAGGTCAATGCACTTCTTTATGTTGCTGTGGAGTAAATAAAAATAAAAAGCAAATCTCAATTATTTCTGAACAAATGAGCATTGACAATGGTAATGCAAAAAAAAAAAAAAAAGTCCTTTGATGAGAAACAGCACAAAAATAAAAGAGAAAGACAAACATTAGGGTAACTTCTACCTCCTCATACTATAATGTAATGAAAATGGAAGAAACTAGAAGCATGGGCCTAATATTGATCTTGGAGTAAGTGCACTGAAAAGAGCACTTGGGAGGGAACCTGGGTCAAAGAAAGAGAAGTCATAAAGGAAGTTAAACTTTTGGCTTAAGTCCAAACATATCTTTGAGAACTTGAGTTAACAGTTGGTTTCCTTATTTTTCCAATAATTCTTGATAAGTCAGAGTAAATCCTGGGGTGGCATATCTACATGGCCTCGCTTGATCTACTAACTAAAAGTTTGGCTGTTTATAATAATTCATTGACTGCAAAAACAAAATTAGCATCAGCAAGATTAGTGGAGATCTATTTTTTTTTCCCATTCTACTCTTCTACATTTTGTGTTATCTTCCAATCACTTATTTAGATTATTGATTGTTTGTTTAAAAAGTATAAACATATGGGGAATGATCAAAAGACTAGTTGAATCAATCATATTTTGTCTAAAATCAAGTGTAATCTGGAAACTGTACCACTTCTAGTTGGGTACTGGGTCTTCCTGAGCTCAGTGTTAAGATGAAGTATTTATATAAATAAAGGAATTCAGGAAGTGAAAATAGCCTGTCCACCAAACCATTAAACGATGTCTAGGACATAGCAGGCAAGCAATATCTCTTCAATGAATTAATGCAAGAAAGAATTTATGAATCCTTATAAATTATAAGAAAGAATATTAGGAATTGGGAGAAAGGCTTAACAAAGGCAGAGAATGGAAGAATTCTCAAAAAGAAATGCTAAGAATTACTCTTCATTTTCTTTAGCCATATTTTTCTATAGGTTTTTTTTTAAATTTTTCTTGTTGATTTGTAGAAGTTTTAAATATATGTGTAGAGATGCACACATATACACTTATCTTTGCTTATGTTGAAAATATTTAGGTATCTTCCCCAAGTATTATATTTTCTGTTGGGTTTGGCCAGCAAAGCCTGAGGTAGCGAATGAAAAAATTACTCCAGACACCTTAGGAGGAGAAAGGAGAGGGTGTGAAGACCAGACACTCTAGTGGGGAAAGGTCCCAAGTCAAACTGCCTCCACTTTTATTGTGAACATTATCAATACATCAAGGGAATAAGAAAAGCGAGAAGGAATGTGAAGCTTTAAGAATCAGGACAGGGAGGGGCGCCTGGGTTGCTCAGACGGTTAAGCGTCTGCCTTCGGCTCAGGTCATGATCCCAGGGTCCTGGAATCGAGTCCCGCATTGGGCTCCCTGCTAGGCGGGGAGCCTGCTTCTCTCCCTCTGCCTCTCTCTCTCTCTCTCTCTCTCTCTCTGACTTTCATGAATAAATAAATAAAAAAATTAAAAAAAAAAAATCAGGACAGGGAATAGGAAGTACCCTGTGATCAGAACATACCGTGCTCGTGACGTGTGTGCAGTCAGGGAGTGCGTGGAGTATGTGACGACCAAAGATAAATGTTTCTCTAAGTTAAGCATTTACTCCCTGGGTGAGGGCATTGAGCCGCAACAAGGATCTGGCTGTTTTCAGCCCAGAAACTGCAAAGGAGGCCCAGTTTTCCGGACACTCCTTTGCTTTTCAACTAGTCTCACCCAGGGAGGCATGTGTTTATTAAATCTTCTCTAGCCAAGGCATTATGAATTCTCACAATTTTCTTCTTCTTGGTCTGACTTCTGCAGTGTAGCATTTTTGATTTCAAATTTATTTCATACATATGGCTTTTTTTGGTATAATGTTTAAAAAATATGGACAGTCTCCTTTATTTTGTTTGTTTGTTTTTTCCATGGATAGATTTTTTAATATATCTAGAATTTATCTTTTTGTCCTTTATCATGTAGTGGAATCATTTTATTTATTTATTTTTCATCTGGAGAGCTGATGGTCTTCTCCTTACAGTGCACTGGTCATAGCTACTAGTCACATTACCGCTCCTGACTTCAAGGGTGGGGGGAAGTATAATCTCCCTGGGAATCAGAAATAAAGAACATTACTATTGTATACCACACTTTATATCCAATCAACCATTCTTTTCACATGTGATGCCACTTCTAGAATAGGGTCACTTTCTAATTTGCATTTATAGGTTAAAAATGTATTTATAGATCCATCATTTATAACATTGTTCAATAAGAAAATATATAGCAATTTTAAACCAAAGCATGATAAGTGAAATTCTGTTATCTGGTAATGGTTCTGTAGATAAAACTGCATTATGTTTGTAAGAGATTTTTATCTGAATTTTAAAAATTGACAAAAATACAAAGGATTAGAATCTATACACCAAAGGACACAATATTTTTAAATGTCAATTTGGGAAGACTTATCAATAACACCAAATGCATGCATTCCCTTTGACTCAGCAATTATACTTCTAAAAATCTAAAAAATTGTATTAGTGAGTAAATGTTTAGCTATGGTGTTACAGGACAGTGATATTTGTAAAATAAATTGGAAACTATAAGATGTTAACATCTGTTATCTTAGTGTAGAAGAATTATCAAGAATTTTCAATCTTGTTTTTATTTTTTTCAATTTCCATACTTTCAAATGTATATATATTCAATAATATTTAAAAATTTACTTTTAACTTTCAAAAGTCTCTATCATCTGTTGGAAAACAAAACTGCATTTTATTTCTTGGACACAAAAGCATAAACACAGAAATTTTCTTCAAGAAAATAAAATTTAAAAATATGTAGCACTGTATGGTATGTTTTGGATGCTCTGAATTTGAATGTTATAAGTTCACTATAAATGCTAAGTCAAGAAGAAGTATATTCTAATTCTATTCCTTTGAGACAAAGACAAAATGTAAATAATGTGACTGCAAATTGAATTTGCAAAGTTCAAATGTAGATAATTACATATAAAGAAAATAAGTATATCTATTAAAATTTATTAAATACTTACTAAATGCTAGGCAATACAGTTGCGAGGGGAGCTCATTGATCTTTCATAACAATGCTGAGATTTTAAAACTACTATTAGTTTTACAAATGAAAAAAAAAAAGAAAGAAAGAAAAAATCCAGGGTTTTCTTGAGGTGTCTCTACAAGGAATGATTCCAGTTTTTAAATATTAAAATTGATCAGAGTCTGCTCGATTAACCACTACTGGTATACAGTTTACTAATTAGGTTTCATACGACAATTTAAACATATTGTTGCCAACAAACTGTCCCACATATATGGTGATAATAATTTTTGATACCAATCTCTTGAATAAAATAGAAATAATATAAAATACATAAATTCAATTTTTTGGCAGAAAAAATTTTAATTAAATCTACTTAGCCTAATAAACATATAAATATATAATGTGAGGAGGTGGTTGATATATGATATTTCAAGTAATATGAGCAGTAGAAAGTATAATACTTTGGAGGCAATACTTCAGAGTACTCTGCAGTAATGCAAAATAGTACAAAACAACAACAAAACCCCAGGTTGTCATTCCAGAGTTGACAAAGAAAGACAGAATCCCGAGAGAGTAATGGTGACCATCTAAATTCTAAGATCCAATCCTTCAAGTTAGAATCCTCCAAAATCCATTCAGAACAATCAGAGCACAAATAACTTTCCATAGTGTACACCCTCAGCATACCCATGAGAAAGATAATAGCACAAATTTCACTGTATATATATAAGTGAAATCAATAACACCCAGAACAGGCAGAATTGGCTGAGGAGCCCAAACCAGAGCAAACAAATGATCAGAAAACAGATCAAAATATGTGTCATTTAAAAAAAAAATACCAGACAAACTACAGCAAAGGAAAATTAAGGAAGCTAATAATTCATCCAAACTTCTTTCCCATCTGAAACAGAATCATCTGGGTCCAGGAAAATCCAAATAAATATTCAGAAAAAAGAAAATTAACTCAGAAGAGTATTGCCTTAGTACTGAGGTAAAATTAGCCCAAGACTGGAGCCTTCTCTGAAACCAGCACTCTGACAGCAAAAATTGGCAAAGGGAATTATTATTAGAAAGGGAAATTATAACTGGAGGGTATTATGCTGAGCGAAATAAGTCAATCAGAGAAAGACAAGTATCATATGGTTTCACTCAGATGAGGAATATAAGAAACAGCATAGAGGATCATAGGGGAAGGGAGGGGAAAACCACATTCCAGAAACTGTTCTAATTGTTCTTTTCCAGTGATCCCTTAGCAGTTGTTGGACAGGGTTCTCACACACAAGCCTAGTGCTCAGTTAAAGACATGAGGGAAACCCTTTGTAGATCTCTCTTTCTCTTTCCCTCTCTCTCCCCGTGTGTCTCCCTCCCTTCACTTGTAGTCTCCATGTAGCTTTCTCCTCTCTGGTACTCTGCCCGTGAATTCCAGCCATGTCAGAATCTCAAGCTTCTCAACTATGTCTCCTCACCCTAGGGAGCCCACTGTCTCAATGGATTCTCTCTCCTCGTGCTGCAGCCTAGAAACTCTAAAACAGTGAGCTGTGGCAATCATCTCATTTGTTTCCCTTCTACCGGGAATCATGCCCTTTTCTGCTTGTTGTACAAAATATGAATATTTGTTTCACATATTTAGTCTAGTGTTCTAGTTAAGGAGAAAGGGTAAATAAGCCCCCTATTTCTTCATTATGGTCAGAAATATCTTGCTGGTTATACAATTCTTTGCCTGTACTTTCTTCTCTTTTTCTTGATAAGTA